TGTGTCACTCTGGGTCTAATATCTCTATGTGTCTCTATGTGTCACTCTGGGTCTAATATCTCTATGTGTCTCTATGTGTCACTCGGGGTCTAATATCTCTGTGTCTCTATGTGTCACTCTGGTTCTAATATCTCTATGTGTCTCTATGTGTCACTCTGGGTCTAATATCTCTATGTGTCTCTATGTGTCACTCTGGGTCTAATATCTCTATGTGTCTCTATGTGTCACTCTGGGTCTTATATCTCTATGGGTCTCTATGTGTCACTCTGGGTCTAATATCTCTGTGTCTCTATGTGTCACTCTGGGTCTAATATCTCTATGTGTCTCTATGTGTCACTCTGGGTCTAATATCTCTATGTGTCTCTATGTGTCACTCTGGGTCTAATATCTCTATGTGTCTCTATGTGTCACTCTGGGTCTTATATCTCTATGGGTCTCTATGTGTCACTCTGGGTCTAATATCTCTGTGTCTCTATGTGTCACTCTGGGTCTAATATCTCTATGGAACTCTATGTGTCACTCTGGGTCTAATATCTCCATCTGTCTCTATGTGTCACTCTGGGTCTAATATCTCTATGTGTCACTCTGGGTCTAATATCTCTATGTGTCTCTATGTGTCACTCTGGGTCTGATATCTCTATGGGTCTCTATGTGTCACTCTGGGTCTAATATGTCTATGTGTCTCAATGTGTCACTCTGGTTCTAATATCTCTATGGGTCTCTATGTGTCACTCTGGGTCTAATATCTCTATGTGTCTCTATGTGTCACTCTGGGTCTAACATCTCTATGGGTCTCTATGTATCTAAATGGGTCTCTATGAATATCATTTGTGGTGTCCAGGTGGTTTCTGAAAACAAGAACTACATAGCTCAGTGTTGCCTCATATGGTAAAATAAACATAGTTGTTACTTACAGTTTGTGCGTTGGGCATGGCTGGGTAGCTCTGTGCGGTGTTTAAAGCTGTTGTTTAAAGGGGCAACTTTCACACCTCCATCACGTAACACAACACCACTCCAGTCGTCTTACGCGTACTGAAGTTTAACGCTGCAGGCGTGGTCCAGATGTATTGTGACCCTATCCTCCCCCCTCTCCCCCATTTAATTATCTAAAATTTAATATATATTTAAAGGAAGGTTAATTTAAAACAAATTAATATGCAAAGGAAAGCAAATGTTAGGGGTCAATTAATTTTTTTTTGGGGGGGGGGGTCACCAGACATCTGGACCAATCCTTTACAAGGCACGCAATGCTGTTGACAGCAGTGGTTCTCAACCTTTGTTGGCCACTGCTGTGCCCCCCTTTATTGATTTTTGTTCAAACCGAGTGCCGCCCTTGCCTGACCCAACATGGTTCTGAGAAATAAATGCGTGAAGAATGAACGTCAATATTTGAACCAACTGTACATTTTGTGATGTGTCTTAACTCGCCAGTAACTGCAAGCGAATACAATCAATCCCCGTATTAGTTTTGTTATTGGCAACTTGTCTGGAATAACAATTGCTGAGTGGTCCACCTGGGAGGAAGGTTTTGGGGAGTCCTTTTGGAACGACATTAGAAGAAGAAACAAACTAAGACAACAAATAAATATATAAAGTATACAGTGTTGTTTGTCTTTAAAAACGCAGAAGTTTCGTCACGCGAGTGTCAAAATGAAACTCAAAACAAGAAGCTGAAATATTTTCTCTTGCTATTTATTTAGAATATATATTTTTCCTGCTGTAAAAGTCGCTTTGTACATTATAGAGAGACTACTTACTACTCATCGTGTGCAAATTACAATAACTACAACAATAATTTACACTTAGAGAGTTGCGAGTTGCATCCGGAGGGTCCCGCCACCAATGCACCCCGCGTATGGAAAGCAGAAAATAGACAGAGCCTGCAGGGTAGACGGGCAGGGCTTGGCAGGGGGGGGGGGGGTAAAGGGCGATTTAGCCACTCAGTCACTCACTCACCCACCTACTCACCCACCTCCACTCACTCACTCACCCACTCGCTCACCCACCCACCCGATCACCACACCAACAGAGCCTTGACCTCGGAGTCCTTCGAAGGAGGCGACCCGTAGTCCTCAGGGGTCTCGTGGTTAATGAGCGGAGATCGGTCCCTGTAGACATTGGTTCTCAATCTGGCGTGAACGCTTCCCCTGGGGGTGCGAGATGCCCTTTCTGGGGGGTGTGAGACTTGGCCAGACTTTGTTAGAAGGTAAATAATCGATACACAAATTAAGCACGGGCACGTAAGTAAAACTCCTTTGTGTATCAAACCCCCAGGTATTTATTAACATTATTAAACATTTTTACTATTGAGAACCAAAGGGGTGCAAGGCTGCAGTCAACGTTAAGAGCCACTGCTGTCAACGTTGCGGGGGCCATCCCATTGCGTGCCTTGTACAGGGCTGGTCCTGATGTGTGGTGACCTGTGTTAAATATATTGTTAAAAACAGTTACCAAAAAATACGTTAAATATGTTAACGTGTGCAATTAATTGTGATTAACTAAAAATGTGTGCTAAGTGTAATTAAGAATGTGTGAGCGCAGATGTTCTTAATTGCCCCTGGTGTGGTGTGTGTCTGTATCCTTGTTTATTGTGGAACGGCCTTCACCTCTCTTTAGGTTGACTCAGCCTTAATGTGAATTCCTGCTGCAGCAGCAATCACAGCCACTGGGAAGACAAAGGCGGTTGGACAGGCTCTGGTTATACCCCTGGAATACATGTTATTATGGTCGTGGAGAATTGACGTAATTCGTATTACGCGTTTTTTTTTAGAACGCGCTAAATCCAGACATTTGTAGAGCAAATATGTTACGTTAAAATAGGCAAAATCACTCTTAATATTATTTTTTGGAAACGGCATTTATACAACACAGACGGGACACAGAGGACTTTTTATAGAGACATGCAGACTAGAGACCCACAGACAAGAGACACAGATTCATGTACGGGAGTATACAGATGGGACATAGACGGCTTTATATAAGCGATGAGAGAGAGAGAGACCGTAGGCCCGTGTGTGAATGTGTGAGTGAGTGAGTGTGAGTGAGTGTGTGAGTGAGTGTGTGTGAGTGAGAGTGTGTGAGTGAGTGAGTGTGTGAGTGAGTGTGTGAGTGTGTGAGTGAGTGAGTGTGTGAGTGAGTGTGTGAGTGTGTGAGTGAGTGAGTGTGTGAGTGAGTGAGTGTGTGAGTGAGTGAATGTGTGAGTGTGTGTTTGTGAGTGAGTGTGTTTGTGAGTGAGTATGTGAGTGAGCGTGTGAGTGTGTGAGTGAGCGTGTGAGTATGTGAGTGTGTGAGTATGTGAGTGTGTGAGTGAGTGAGTAAGTGTGTGAGTAAGTGAGTGTGTGAGTGAGTGTGTGAGTGAGTGTGTGAGTGTGTGAGTGAGTGTGTGAGTGAGTGTGTGAGTGTGTGTGTGAGTGTGTGAGTGAGTGTGTGTGTGTAAGTGTGTGAGTGAGTGTGTGAGTGAGTGTGTGTGAGTGTGTGTGTGAGTGAGTGTGTGAGTGAGAGTGTGTGAGTGAGTGAGTAAGTGTGTGAGTGAGTAAGTGTGTGAGTGAGTGAGTGTGTGAGTGAGTGTGTGAGTGAGTGAATGTGTGAGTGTGTGTTTGTGAGTGTGTGTGAGTATGTGAGTGTGTGAGTGAGTAAGTGTGTGAGTAAGTGAGTGTGTGAGTGAGTGTGTGAGTGAGTGTGTGAGAGTGTGTGAGTGTGTGTGTGAGTGAGTGTGTGTAAGTGAGTAAGTCAGTGTGTGTGTGAGTGTGCGAGTGAGTGAGCGAGTGAGCGTGTGAGTGAGCGTTTGTGTAATTGTGAGTGTGTGAGTGTAACTGAATGCGTAGCCGGGTGTGGGCTGCTTTGCACCCGAGGGGTTCTGAGCTGTCACCGAACCGGCTCTGCCAGGACGCTGCGAGGATTTGTTGGCTACAAAACCCACAGCGGATCGCGCTGCCTGCCTGGCCTGGAGCCACTGCGCCTCACTGAGCACTGAGCCGTCGCTGCTGCTGCACCGAGGAATGAGCCATGGACATCGTGGGAACCCCCTTCGCTCGCATTGGTGACCTTGTAGAAGGAAGCTTTCAAACGCAGTGCCGCGTTTTTATCGGTTAGTAAGCAAAGTGGATGACTCCAGGCCGTGTTTAGTTTAATACAGGTTGGGTTTTACCACGAGTCCGACTGGGGTGTAGAGTCCCAGGCATTCGTTATCTGCTGTGAACAACCCGCAGAGCCCAAGAGAGCGTCTCTGGGTTCAAGCAGTGTTTATAGTGCAGTATTTAGATTATTTAGCAGCTATGCAGTTCCAACATGACGAGCCACTTTGTTGAGCTATCATTTGTGATGGGCAGGTCGCTTTGGAAAAATAAGCCAATAGCTCAGTGGGGCATTACACTTGGTAAAATAAACTTAGTTGAGTTTTATTTTCATGTTTTTTTACTATCATTTTGAACGCCGATGGGCATTTGTGTTGCTGCGTGTGCATGCGCGTTGAGTAGCCGTGCGTGTGAATGTGAAACAACAACGCAGCTGAAGTAAGCGGTGGGTGCGGCTGTGAATGGTCGGCACGGGGATCTGCAGTTTCAGACAAGGTGAGAGTGAGAGACGGCGACATCGTCAGCAGTGGGTGATGGAGGCAGGTAGAGTTGGTGACGGATTCACACTGCTAACAAAAGGCTCAAGAATCCAGGATCTGTCACGGGAGGCTACACGCAATTTGTTTTCCCGATGCCACGATGACGTTCAAGCAACTTGTCACGTTGGGGTAATTACACGGAGATTGAGTTACAGGACATCATGAGATATCTACAACTATGCCAACTATATATTAAATTTTAGCAGGCAAGACTCATTGAGCTGTATAGCTAGTTTTCAGAAACGACCTGGCCACAAATGATGGCTTATCACGTGGTAATGTATTTCGCCAACTACTCTAAACGCGTGATGTTGATTGTAAATGTGGAAGGAAAAAACCGGAGAACCCGGAGAAAAATTCACGCTACCGCGAAGAGAGAGACGCAAACTTTAAATATAAAGCAGGCGTCAGGGTCTGGATCAAACCCCACCACCTCCTGTATACCGGGCGAAGGAGATAACATCTTGCCACCAACTTGCTGTAGAAGTTCCTCTCTCGACACTCATCTCACGAATGAGCCACGGCAGCTGAGCCTCACCGATTTATGTTAACAGCGCTCATTTCTATAAATGTCAAGGTGTGTGCAGTAGCCGTGTTCACCTTGAGGCTGCTGTTTGCACACCAAGGGGCGCGGGTTCACATTCCAGGCAGTGTCTCGCGATGTCAGTGACGACAATGAAAATATTTAAAGTATTTTACTTCCTTCTTCACCGTCACTATAAGAGAGAGGTCCTGGTCCAGCGTCTTTCTGAGCCACACAGCGAGCGATCCCAGCGAAGCCATGGGTCATGGCGAGCGCGACTCCCAGTGAGAGTGTGGATAGTGAGCTGCGCTGCTCCATCTGCCTGGGCACGTTCGTCTGCCCCTCCACGCTGAGCTGCGGACACTCGTTCTGCCTGCGGTGCCTGGAGGCCGCCTGGGAGACGGGGAGCAGCTTCAGCTGCCCGCAGTGCCGAGCGACCTTCCCTGTGCGACCCCAGCTGAGGAGGAACGTGGCCCTCGCCAACCTGGCGGAGCAGCTCAGAGTTGGGGACGGGATGGCCGCGGTCGTCAAGTGTGACAACTGCGGTGATGGCCACACTCCTGCAGTGAGGACCTGCCTGAGATGTGAGATGTCCTTCTGTGCGACGCACACGAGGCCTCATGTGGAGAATCCCAGGCTGAGTGATCACGTCCTGGTGGCTCCCATCGCGAACCTGGAGGAGCGACGGTGCCGGGAGCACAGCAGGGAGCTAGAATTCTACTGCACAGTAGACAGCAGCCTGGTCTGCTCAACTTGCACCATCGCAGGTGAACACAAAGGACATGATGTCACCACGCTGAAGAAGGAGCACGAGATACGGAAGGTGAGGCCCTCAGAGTGAGACACCGCAACACGATCTGACCAATTCTGTCACTGGGCTGCACAACATGTCGTGAAAAAAAACAATTGTGTGTTCATGCTCTGTTATGATTGTCTGTCTCTGCCTGTGTAGCAATCTCCTGCTTGTTGTTTTAGGAAACGACCTTTGGATGTATTGAATGCTAGGTTCTCACTAAACATAATTCTCGTGTAAAGGAATTGAGTGGATAGAGATGTGAGACAAATATCACAGCCACTTGAGAGACAATTCTAGTTGAGTTATCTTCTAAACGAGACAGCTGTGGTCACCTGGGCTCTTGGGTCCGAGTCGGTATGGCCACCCAAGCCAGCACGGCTCCCACCGGCTGCTGCTACAACGAGGCATCAGCTTGCCCACTCCGAGTTCCCCCCATCTCAGTCACTGTAGAGAGGCAGCGTAGAGATGAGGGACTTCACTGTGGAGGGGTTGGTGTGGAGTGAAGGGCGGTGTGAGGGGTGGCTCAGGGGGCTGGAGTCTCCCCCTGGTGACGTCTCGTCTCTCACTACAGACGCGCGTAGGGGAGGAGACGCGAGCGGTGGAGGAGAAGAGGAAGAAGGCGGAGGAGTCCGTGAAGCGGATGGAGGCCACTCGCAAGGAGGCGCAGGTACCGTGTCCCGGCCGGGCTCTTTGACCCCTGTGACCTCCACCCAGCGTGGAAATCGTGGAGGGCAAAATTAATTCAAGCGAACTTCGTGCAGCTTCATAACTGTGATGCCTCTTACTATAACTATATCATTCACTATCAAACTCAACATTAACTACGAGGGGGTTGCACGTTTACTGCATTCGATAACCGCATTGGCGAGTCTGCCGCGAGGTCGGGTTACTCGGCATTGCGTCTTCAACTCCTGTGGCATAAAAAAAAGTGTCGAGAGTGCCACGGATTGTCGGGGTGGAGCTGTGGTGCAGCTGTTGCACTGCACTGGAGGTCGTGCACAGGCACGGACGCAGAGGCACGAACACCGCACAGCTGCACCTTACACCGTCCCTAATCACGTCACCGGAGTTTATTTAAACAACAACTTTTATTTTACCAGTTAAGGCCCCACTGAGCTGTGTAGATTTTTTTCAGAAGCGACCCTGGCTGTCACAAACAATAGCAGCTCCGCAAAGTGGCTGACATCATCACCACGTGGAAATATAGCAGCAGACCCAATAGAGATACATAGAGACCCATATAGATACATAGAGACCCATATAGATACATAGAAACCCATAGAGATACATAGAGACCCATAGAGATACATGGAGATCTCTAGAGATACATAGAGACCCATAGATTAAACTATTTTTATTTTACCAGGTAAGGCCCCACTGAGCCATGTAGCTCTTTTTGCAGAAGGAACCTGAATATCACAAATGATAGCTCAATGAAATGGCTTATCAGGTGGAAATTGATAGAAGCCAAATACTCTAAATACTGTACTCTAAACGCTTGCTTGAACCCGGACATGCTCTCTTGGGCACTGCGGGTTGTGCACAGCAGATAACGAATGCCTTGGATTATAAATCCGATTCCGACTCGTGGGAAAACCCGACCTGGATTATGCCGATATTAAATGTGGAAGGAAAAGCCGCAGGACTCGGAGAAAAATCCACGCGACCACAGGGAGAAAGACGCAGACTCCAAATATGCAGAAGTAATTATCGTCGTGATCGAACCCACGACCCCCTGCATACCAGGCGAGGTAGTTAACATCTCGCCACATCTCGTCGGACCCACGAGGGGGCCCCCACCGGACTCCGAGTGCCCGAGTCTCAACATCCACGACTCCAACGCCCTCTAGGGGAGAAACAAGAAGAGAGCGGCGCCACTCTTGCCCCCTTGGCATGGATCGACTCAGTCCCATGGACGCCTCGTCACTGGGGCATGATTCACCACTAGGGAATATTATTTTATTATTTTGCCAGGTAAAGCCCACTGAGTTGTGTAGCTCTTTTTGAAAAGTGACCTGGCAATCACGAATTGCAGATCAACCAAGTGGTTGACATCATCATCACGTGGTAATTTATAGCAGCCGCCAAATATACAGAGACTCATAGAGATACATAGACACCCATATAGATACTAGACCCATAGAGATATCAAAGACACACATAGAGATACATAGACACCATAAAGATACAGGGAGACCCCGAAAGAGACATACAGACCCATAGAGATATTAGGCCCATAGAGACTCATAGACAGCCATAGAGACCCATAGACTAAACTCTTTTTTTTATTTTACCAGGAAAGGTTCGGGGCCATCCATAAATGACGTCACACACCTAGAGGAGAGGGGGTCAGGCATTTGTGACGATGTGTGACGAAGGGGGAGGGGGGGTTGTAGAAATGACGTCACATCAAAACTTTAAAAAAGAATATGAATTAAATGTAATTGTTATAACAACACTAATTTTAATTTGCATGATTAACTATTTGATTATTTAAATTAACTAAGGTCACCTTTCATTCATTCTATGAAGGAGCATTTTGCTTCTCCATGGGAGATGGAGAAGCATACATTTTATAAAATTTTGGAATAATTGTTAATTAAAATGTTATTCTAATGATTATATCAGTGCTTTTAATTCTGTGAAATGAATGTGATTGTTATAATTGTACTCTCCATTTTGCTTCGTTCTACTACAAAGATTCACAGAGGTGTTGTTTCTCTGTGTGCCTTTGTGTGTGTCTCTGTGTTGTCTCTCTCTGTGTGTGTCTGTCTGTGTGTCTCTGTGTTGTCTCTCTCTGTGTGTGTCTGTCTGTGTGTCTCTGTGTGTCTCTCTCTGTCTGTGTGTCTGTCTGTGTGTCTCTGTGTGCCTGTGTGTCTGTCTGTGTGTCTCTGTGTGTCTCTCTCTGTGTGTCTCTGTGTTGTCTCTCTCTGTGTGTGTCTGTCTGTGTGTCTCTGTGTTGTCTCTCTCTGTGTGTCTGTCTGTGTGTCTGTCTGTGTGTCTCTGTGTGTCTCTCTCTGTCTGTGTGTCTGTCTGTGTGTCTCTGTGTGCCTGTGTGTCTGTCTGTGTGTCTCTGTGTGTCTCTCTCTGTGTCTCTGTGTTGTCTCTCTGTGCCTGTGTGTCTGTCTGTGTGTCTCTGTGTGTCTCTCTCTGTCTGTGTGTCACTGTGTTGTCTCTCTGTGCCTGTGTGTCTGTCTGTGTGTCTCTGTGTTGTCTCTCTCTGTGTGTGTCTGTCTGTGTGTCTGTGTGTCTCTCTCTGTGTGTCTCTGTGTTGTCTCTGTGTGTGTGTGTCTGTCTGTCTCTCTCTGTGTTGTCTCTCTGTGCCTGTGTGTGTCTGTCTGTGTGTCTCTGTGTGTCTCTGTGTGTCTCTCTCTGTCTCTGTGTTGTCTCTCTCTGCCTGTGTGTCTGTCTGTGTCTCTGTGTCTCTCTCTGTGTGTCTCTGTGTTGTCTCTCTCTGCCTGTGTGTCTGTCTGTGTCTCTGTGTCTCTCTCTGTGTCTCTGTGTTGTCTCTCTCTGCCTGTGTGTCTGTCTGTGTGTCTCTCTGTGTCTCCGTGTTATCTATCTCTGCCTCTGTGTCTGTGTGTCTCTATCTGTGTGTCTCTCTCTGCCTGTCTGTTTGTCTGTGTCTCTGTGTGTCTCTCTCTGTGTGTCTCTGTGTCTCTCTCTGCTTGTGTATCTGTCTGTGTGTATTCTTGTTTGTGTTTTGTCTCGCTCTCAAATTTAGCATTTTTTTGAAGAACATAATCAACCAGGTAGAGTGGTGACTGTTATGTTAGCCGTCTCTCCGTGTTGTATTGCATTATACTTCTTAGTTTACTAGGTTTGTTTTTCTCATTCATTCGTACCTAATGATGATTGCTTGTGTTGCAATCGAAACGTCGTATGCTATTAATTGATTTATTTTCTTTCTACGTAACTTTACCGAAAGAACCAAAAAGTATTTTTTATAGTTATAATTACTTTCATTTTTTTATAATTATAAGATAATTTCAATATAATATTCTGAACATGTGCAGTTTTAGGAAGACGTTGAATATTTTCAAGCGAATTTTATGCTAAATTCCAGCTTTCCAAAGCCTCATTTTTAAAACATGTTTTCTGGTACAACATCAGAGTGCAGCGCCACATTAAATACGCACTACAATGACAATAGTTTTAGTTTAGAGTGATTTGAAGCATGTTTTATTTTCAAAATGGAAATATGGTTTTGGGCGGGGCAGAGCTTTTTGACGTCATATTTGAGGGGGGTCTGACTTTTTGTGACGCCGTGTGACGAGGGGGGGAGGGGGGGTTAAAAATCGGCCAAAATCGCGTGACGTCATTTATGGACGACCCTTTTTTGTCAGAAGCGACATGGCTATTATAAATGATAGCTCAACAAAGTGGATGATTGTAATGTTGAAATTGCTAGCAGCCAAATACTCTGAACGCGTAACGTCGATTCTAATTGTGGAGGCAAAAACCGGAGGACCCAGAGAAAAATCCATACAGAGAGAACAAACTACAACTACACGGGCGTCAGGGTCGGGATCGAACCCCGACCTGCTGTATACCAGGCGAGGGAGTCAACATCTCCTAGCCACCACGGCGCCCACACGCACATACGGAGTGGCTCATGGCTCAGGGGGGCAACCGTGGTCCTCGTGTCTACACAGGAATCGGTGGCCGGGATCAGGGGTCGCATCACGGGCAAGTTCGCCCGCCTAAGGGATGCTCTGAACGAGGACGAGAGGGAGGCTCTCCAACGCGTGGCCGTGAAGGAGCGCGAGATGCTGTCCCGGATAGACGAGGACATCGCTCGTCACAAGCGGGAAATCGGGGAGCTCCAGGCGGCGGCCGCTCGCCTGCGCACCCTGCAGCACGAGAGGGACTCGCTCGCCTTCCTGCAGGTGGGGAGCGCCTCTGTGGAGACGCCGTTGGGGTGTCCACGAGAACAGAGCGGGCAGTGGCAGAGGGACTCGTGGTGCAAGGTTAGAGACGTCACTCATGATCCCTGTGTCTCTCTCTTCCACAGGGGCACCTGGAGGAGATGCGCAGGTACAGATCCTCACAATACAGTATATGTTAGACACACGGGCTGTGTGTTAGACACACGGGCTGTGTGTGTCAGACACAGGGTGTGTTTGTGTGTGTGTTAGACATGCTGGCTGTGTGTGAGACACGTGCTGTGTGTGAGACACGTGCTGTGTGTGAGACACGGGCTGTGTGTTAGACACAGACTGTGTGTGAGACACGTGCTGTGTGTGATATGGATGCTGAGTGTTCCGATGCTGTGGTTGAACGAGGCTGTGTGTGATGCTGTTGGTGGTTCTCCCAGGAGAGAGATCCCAAAGGAATCTGCACCCGCACCTCCCACTTCACTGGACGCCACCACGATCCGCTCCCTTGAAAGCGTCGTGAACAGATTCCTGCCTCTCGTCTGTGAGTTCCTCAGTCTTGCACCGGCGTGTCCCGCTCTGTTGCACTGCACTTCTGTGCTCCCCACCTTCATCAACTTTTATTTTACCAGGTAAGGAACCCACTGAACCTTGTCGCTCTTTTGTCTCAAGCGACCTATCACAAATGACAGCTCTACGAAATGGCTCATTACGTGGATATTTACAACAGCAGCCAAATCCTCTGAATGCAAATTGATTCTAAACGTGAAGGGGAAAACGCGAGGAGCTAGGGAAAAATCCACGCCACCACGGGGAGAGAGACGCAGACTCTATAAGAGAGCGACATGGATCAGTGGGCCATACCTGGTGAAATAAAATTAGTTTAACAGTTTCAATATTCTACTGAACCCTACTCTGGGTACTGGAGCAAGTGCTGTTAGCGAGTTGCAGCACCTATGAAGGCCGGAACGGCACACGAGGGAGTGGGTAGCCAGCACCACGCCCAGCCGCCTTTGTCTCCCTCGTGCCGAATGTTTACACGTCACACCAGCAGAGGGCAGTGCAGCGTGAACCATTGTTGTACTGCACCTCCACGCTTCTACGTTTACGATCGCCAACATCGCCAACGAGCACCGACGAGAGTGGTGAAGTATGGTCAAATAACCCCTCCCCCCCCAGGACGTGCACGGCGTGGGGAGGCGCTCATCCAGCAGCGGAGTGACACACAATGTCTGTGTGTGGATGTGAGAGTGTGCGAGGCTGTGACACACAATGTGTGTGTGTGGGTGTGAGAGTGTGCGAGGCTGTGACACACAATGTCTGTGTGTGTGGGTGTGAGAGTGTGCGAGGCTGTGACACACAATGTCTGTGTGTGGGTGTGAGAGTGTGCGAGGCTGTGACATACAATGTATGTGTGTGGGTGTGAGAGGGTGCGAGGCTGTGACACACAATGTCTGTGTGTGGGTGTGAGAGTGTGCGACGCTGTGACACACAATGTCTGTGTGTGTGTGAGAGTGTGCGACTCTGTGACACACAATGTTTGTGTGTGTGGTTGAGAGTGTGCGAGGCTGTGACACACAATGTCTGTGTGTGGGTGTGAGAGTGTGCGAGGCTGTGACACACAATGTCTGTGTGTGGGTGTGAGAGTGTGCGAGGCTGTGACACACAATGTATGTGTGTGGGTGTGAGAGTGTGCGAGGCTGTGAGACACAATGTCTGTGTGTGGATGTGAGAGTGTGCGAGGCTGTGACACACAATGTTTGTGTGTGTGGTTGAGAGTGTGCGAGGCTGTGACACACAATGTCTGTGTGTGGGTGTGAGAGTGTGCGAGGCTGTGACACACAATGTCTGTGTGTGGGTGTGAGAGTGTGCGAGGCTGTGACACACAATGTATGTGTGTGGGTGTGAGAGTGTGCGAGGCTGTGAGACACAATGTCTGTGTGTGGATGTGAGAGTGTGCGAGGCTGTGACACACAATGTCTGGTGTGGGGGTGTGAGAGTGTGCGAGGCTGTGACACACAATGTCTGTGTGTGGGTGTGAGAGTGTGCGAGACTGTGACACACAATGTCTGTGTGTGAGAGTGTGCGAGGCTGTGACACACAATGTCTGTGTGTGCGTGTGAGAGTGTGCGAGGCTGTGACACACAATGTCTATGTGTGGGTGTGAGAGTGTGCGAGGCTGTGACACACAATGTCTGTGTGTGTGGGTGTGAGAGTGTGCGAGGCTGTGACACACAATGTCTGTGTGTGTGGATGTGAGAGTGTGCGAGCCTGTGACACACAATGTATGTGTGTGGATGTGAGAGTGTGCGAGGCAGTGACACACAATGTCTGTGCATGGATGTGAGAGTGTACGAGGCTGTGACATACAATGTCTGTGTGTGGGTGTGAGAGTGTGCGAGGCTGTGACACACAATGTCTGTGTGTGTGTGAGCGTGTGCGAGGCTGTGACACACAGTGTGTGTGTGTGAGAGTTTGCGAGGCTGTGACACACAATGTTTGTGTGTGTGGTTGAGAGTGTGCGAGGCTGTGACACACAATGTCTGTGTGTGGGTGTGAGAGTGTGCGAGGCTGTGACACACAATGTCTGTGTGTGTGGGTGTGAGAGTGTGCGAGGCTGTGACACACAATGTATGTGTGTGGGTGTGAGAGTGTGCGAGGCTGTGAGACACAATGTCTGTGTGTGGATGTGAGAGTGTGCGAGGCTGTGACACACAATGTCTGGTGTGGGGGTGGGAGAGTGTGCGAGGCTGTGACACACTATGTCTGTGTGTGTGTGTGAGAGTGTGCAAGGCTGTGACACACTGTGTGTGTGTGTGAGAGTGTGCGAGGCTGTGACACACAATGTCTGTGTGGGTGTGAGAGTGTGCGACTCTGTAACACACAATGTTTGTGTGTGTGGTTGAGAGTGTGCGAGGCTGTGACACACAATGTCTTGGGTGGGGGTGTGAGAGTGTGTGAGGCTGTGACACACAATGTCTGGTGTGGGTGTGTGAGAGTGTGCGAGGCTGTGACACACAATGTCTGTGTGTGGGTGTGAGAGTGTGCGAGGCTGTGACACACAATGTCTGTGTGTGGGTGTGAGAGTGTGCGAGGCTGTGACACACAATGTCTGTGTGTGCGTGTGAGAGTGTGCGAGGCTGTGACACACAATGTCTGTGTGTGGGTGTGAGAGTGTGCGAGGCTGTGACACACAATGTCTGTGTGTGTGGGTGTGAGAGTGTGCGAGGCTGTGACACACAATGTCTGTGTGTGTGGGTGTGAGAGTGTGCGAGGCTGTGACACACAATGTCCGTGTGTGGATGTGAAAGTGTGCAAGGCTGTGGCACACAATGTCTGTGTGTGGGTGTGAGAGTGTGCGAGGCTGTGACACACAATGTCTGTGTGTGGGTGTGAGAGTGTGCGAGGCTGTGACACACAATGTCTGTGTGTGCGTGTGAGAGTGTGCGAGGCTGTGACACACAATGTCTGTGTGTGTGGGTGTGAGAGTGTGCGAGGCTGTGACACACAATGTCTGTGTGTGTGGATGTGAGAATGTGCGAGCCTGTGACACACAATGTATGTGTGTGGATGTGAGAGTGTGCGAGGCAGTGACACACAATGTCTGTGCATGGATGTGAGAGTGTACGAGGCTGTGACATACAATGTCTGTGTGTGGGTGTGAGAGTGTGTGCGAGGCTGTGACACACAATGTCTGTGTGTGTGTGAGCGTGTGCGAGGCTGTGACACACAGTGTGTGTGTGTGAGAGTTTGCGAGGCTGTGACACACAATGTTTGTGTGTGTGGATGTGAGAGTGTGCGAGGCTGTGACACACAATGTATGTGTGTGGATGTGAGAGTGTGCGAGGCAGTGACACACAATGTCTGTGCATGGATGTGAGAGTGTACGAGGCTGTGACATACAATGTCTGTGTGTGGGTGTGAGAGTGTGCGAGGCTGTGACACACAATGTCTGTGTGTGTGTGAGCGTGTGCGAGGCTGTGACACACAGTGTGTGTGTGTGAGAGTTTGCGAGGCTGTGACACACAATGTTTGTGTGTGTGGATGTGAGAGTGTGCGAGGCTGTGACACACAATGGCTGTGTGTGTGAGGGTGTGCGAGGCTGTGACACACAATGTCTGTGTGTGCGAGAGTGTGCGAGGCTGTGACACGCAATGTCTTTGTGTGTGGGTGTGAGAGTGTGCGAGTCTGTGACACACAATGTCTGGATGTGAGAGTGTGCGAGGCTGTGACACACAATGTCTGTGTGTGTGGTTGAGAGTGTGCGAGGCTGTGACACACAATGTCTGTGTGTGGGTGTGAGAGTGTGTGAGGCTGTGACACACAATGTCTGTGTGTGGGTGTGAGAGTGTGCGAGGCTGTGACACACAATGTCTGTGTGTGGGTGTGAGAGTGTGCAAAGCTGTGACATACAATGTCTGTGTGTGGATGTGAGAGTGTGCGAGGCTGTGACACACAATGTCTGTGTGTGTGGGTTTGAGAGTGTGGGAGGCTGTGACACACAATGTCTGTGTGTGTGGGTGTGAGAGTGTGCGAGGCTGTGACACACAATGTCTGTGTGTGGATGTGAAAGTGTGCAAGGCTGTGACACACAATGTCTGTGTGTGGGTGTGAGAGTGTGCGAGGCTGTGACACACAATGTCTGTGTGTGGGTGTGGGAGTGTGCGAGGCTGTGACACACAATGTCTATGTGTGGGTGTGTGAGGGTGTGTGAGGCTGTGATACACAATATCTGTGTGTGGGTGTGAGAGTGTGCGAGGCTGTGACACACAATGTCTGTGTGTGTGGGTGTGAGAGTGTGCGAGGCTGTGACACACAATGTCTGTGTGTGTGGGTGTGAGAGTGTGCGAGGCTGTGACACACAATGTCCGTGTGTGGATGTGAAAGTGTGCAAGGCTGTGGCACACAATGTCTGTGTGTGGGTGTGAGAGTGTGCGAGGCTGTGACACACAATGTCTGTGTGTGGGTGTGAGAGTGTGCGAGGCTGTGACACACAATGTCTGTGTGTGGGTGTGAGAGGGTGCGAGGCTGTGACACACAATGTCTGTGTGTGGATGTGAGAGTGTGCGAGGCTGTGACACACAATGTCTGTGTGTGTGGGTTTGAGAGTGTGGGAGGCTGTGACACACAATGTCTGTGTGTGTGGGTGTGAGAGTGTGCGAGGCTGTGACACACAATGTCTGTGTGTGGATGTGAAAGTGTGCAAGGCTGTGACACACAATGTCTGTGTGTGGGTGTGAGAGTGTGCGAGGCTGTGACACACAATGTCTGTGTGTGGGTGTGGGAGTGTGCGAGGCTGTGACACACAATGTCTATGTGTGGGTGTGTGAGGGTGTGTGAGGCTGTGATACACAATATCTGTGTGTGGGTGTGAGAGTGTGCGAGGCTGTGACACACAATGTCTGTGTGTGTGGGTGTGAGAGTGTGCGAGGCTGTGACACACAATGTCTGTGTGTGTGTGTGTGAGAGTGTGCGAGGCTGTGACACACAATGTCCGTGTGTGGATGTGAAAGTGTGCAAGGCTGTGGCACACAATGTCTGTGT